CCCGGGATGTCCCCAAGGGGGTTCCCCCCCTGTCCCCGGTGTCCCCGTTACCCCCCCGGGATGTCCCCAAGGGGGTTCCCCGGTGTCCCCCTCCGGTATTTACCGGGACATCCCCGCCGTTCCCTCCTGTACCCGGTGTCCCCCCCGGTGTCCCCTCCTGTCCTCGCTGTCCCCCCGGTATCCCCTCGGTATCCCCGCTGTCCCCCCGGTGTCCCCGCTGTCCCACCCTGTCCCCGGTGTCCCGCTGTCCCCCCGGTGTCCCCGCTGTTCCCCCGGTGTCCCCCCGGTATCCCCGCTGTCCCCTCCCCGTCCCCGGTGTCCCCTCCTGTCCCCGTTGTCCCCCCGGTGTCCCCGCTGTTCCCCCGGTGTCCCCCCGGTGTCCCCGCCGTCCCCTCCTGTCCCCGTTGTCCCCCCGGTGTCCCCGCTGTTCCCCCGCTGTCCCCCCGGTATCCCCGGTGTCCCCTCGGTATCCCCGGTATCCCCGGTGTCCCCCCGCCGTCCCCCCGGTGTCCCCGGTGCCGCCGTTACCCCCCGCGGGTGCAGCGCCATCCGCAGCTCCCAATCCGCCACCGCCGCCCGGGACTCGTAACGGGCCCCGAGGCGCCGCCGCAGACGCCGGTCCCAGCCCGGGGGCCCCGGTACCGGCCCCGCTTCGGCCTCCGGTACCGCCCCCGGGCCCGGTTCTGCCTCCGGTACCGCCCCCGGGCCCGGCACCGCCCGCTCCCAGCGCCGCAGAACCGCCTCGAGAGCGTCCCGGTCCCGGCACTGCGGGAGGGACAGCCCGGTACCGACAGCACCGGGACCCGGTACCGGCAGCACCGGGACCCTGAGACAGCACCGGGACCCGGCACCGGCAGCACCGGGACCCTGAGACAGCACCGGCACCCGGAACCGGCAGCACCGGGACCCCGAGACAGCACCGGTGAGCAGGCACCCGGTACCGGGCAGTCCGGAGAATCCCAATGTCCCGGCACCCGGTACCGGACGGTCCCGGTGTCCCCAGAACCCCGGTCCCGCCCAGCCCCGCTGCCCCCGGTCCCGGTCCCGCCCGGTTCTGACCTTCATGAGGCGCAGGTCGGCGGGCCCGTGGCGCTCGGTGTCCCGGTGCCGGTCCGGGTCCGGCTCGGCCCGCAGCCAGCGGCGGAGGCGGCCCGCGGCCCCGCGCAGCAGCGCCGCCGTGCCCGGCCCGAGCGAGCCCGAGCCCAGCAGCTCCAGCACGGCGGCGGCGCGGGCTGCGGCACGGCACCGGCGTCACCGGGACACCGGGACACCGGGGACACCGGGAGGGGACAGCGGGGACACCGGGGGTAATCGGGGGGGGACGACACCGGGGCCACCGGGGACACCGGGAGGGGACACCGGGAGGGGACAGCGGGGACAGCGGGGACACCGGGACACCGGGAACACCGGGACACCGGGAACACCGGGACAGCGGGAGGGGACAGCGGGGACACCGGGGGTAATCGGAGGGGGGACACCGGGAACACCGGGGACACCGGGAGGGGACAGCGGGGGTACCGGGGGTACCGGGGGTTATCGGGGGAGGACACCGGGAGGACACCGGGGAGTACCGGACACACCGGGAGGGACATCGGGGACACCGGGGGAATTACCGGGGACACCGGGGTTACCGGCGGAGACACCGGGAGGGGACACAGGGGATAGAAGGGACACCGGGGACAGCGGAGGGAAACCAGAAGGACACCGGGGTTACCGGGGGGGTCATTAGGGACAGCGGGGATCACCGGGGGGACACCGGGGTTACCGGGGGTGCCGGTACCTGCGGCTCGGGGCCGCTCCGGTGCTTCCAGCGCCAGCAGCAGGAACAGGAGCTGGCGAGCCACGGGCTCGGGGCTCTGCTCGGCCACGAAGAGCTGCGGGAGAGCCCCGGTAACACCGGGAGAGCCCCGGTAGCACCGGGAGAGCCCCGGTAGCACAGCTTCACCCCGTCCCGGTGCTCTGCAGCCCGTCCCGGTGCTCTGCAGCGCGACACCGAGCCCGGTACCAGGACACCGGGGAGTACCGGACACACCGGGAGGGACATCGGGGACACCGGGGGAATTACCGGGGACACCGGGGTTACCGGCGGAGACACCGGGAGGGGACACAGGGGATAGAAGGGACTCCGGGGACAGCGGAGGGAAACCAGAAGGACACCGGGGTTACCGGGGTGCCGGTACCTGCGGCTCGGGGCCGCTCCGGTGCTTCCAGCGCCAGCAGCAGGAACAGGAGCTGGCGAGCCACGGGCTCGGGGCTCTGCTCGGCCACGAAGAGCTGCGGGAGAGCCCCGGTAGCACCGGGAGAGCCCCGGTAGCACCGGGAGAGCCCCGAACCGGGAGCTTCACCCCGTCCCGGTGCTCTGCAGCGCGACACCGAGCCCGGTACCGGGACCGGTGTCCCTCCCGGTGTCCCGGTCCGTACCGTGATGTCGCGGGGGGGGCCCCGGCGGGCCCGGGCCGCCGTCATCAGCAGGTGCCGGCCCTCGGCCGCCCCCACCAGCAGCACCGAGGCCTCCGGTCCCGGCGGGACTGCGGGGATCGTGAGGGGGCCGCGGTCACCGGGAGCACCGGGAGCGGTCCCGGGAACAGCGGGAGGGTGCGGGGGGCTCGGGGCTCACGGTGCAGGCGGAGATCGATGGCCGGGGACAGCCCCCACCAGCACACGGTGCCCACGGCGTCCTCCAGCGCCGCCGCCATGGCGGAGCCCTCACGGAGCCCTCACGGAGCCCGGCAACGCCGCTGACCAATCAGGAGAGAGAACGGCGGCGGGAAACGGCGGCGGACCAATGTGAGGAGAGAGTGGTGGAGAAACCCCGCCCACCGGGACGCCGTTGCCAGGGTAATAACGGCAAAACCAACCCACATATTAACATAACCCCGCCCCAAACTAGCACGACCACGCCCACACATATTATTAGCATAGCCACGCCTCCTCATTAACATAACCGCGCCCCCGCGCTGTCCGCGCTCCCGGTGCTGAATTTGCTGAAATTTCGATTTTTTCCCCGTTTTTTCCTTAACGACGGCGCCGATTGCGCCCCCAGCCCCTTTCCCCCCCAAAACTCAGCCAGGGTCGGACCAGGAACGTTTATTCCCCCCTGTCTTGGGGGGCTCGCAGCGTTTGGGGGTTTTTGGGGTGCCAGGAGGGGATTTTTGGGGGAATTTTGGGGGGTTTTGGGGTCATCGGTCCATGGTGGATTCTTCGGGGGGGGTCTCGAAGCAGAGCTGCAGCAGCCGCTCGCAGAACTCCAGCTCTTCCTGTGGGGAGGGCTCAGCGTTAAAACCCCGGGAATTTACCCCAAAATCCCCAGGGTTTTACCCCAAAATCCCAGGAATTTACCCCAAAATCCCCAGGGTTTTTACCCCAAAATATTGAGGGTTTTTACCCCAAAATCTCCAGGGTTTTTACTCCGAAATCCCACAGATTCTCCCCAAAATCCCAGAGATTTCCACCCCCTAAAATCCCACAGATTTCTGCCCCAAAATTCCAGGGATTTCATCCCAAAATCCTGAGGATTTGCCCCAAAAAATCCCCAGGAATTTCCCCCCAAAATCCTGTGAACTTCCACCCCCAAAATCCTTGGGAATTGCCTCAAAATCTTGGGGTTTCCCACCCCCAAAATATTTGGGATTTCCTTAAAATTCCAGGAATTTCCCCCCCCCAACCCCATTAATTTCTACCCCCTAAAATCCTGAGGATTTACCCCAAAATCTCCTGAATTTCCCCCAACCCAAAACCCTCTCAAATTTTACGGATTTGCCTTAAAATTCCAGGAATTTCCCCCTAAACCCCCCAGAATTTGCCCCTAAACCCCCCAGAATTTCCCCAAACCCCCCCAGAACTTGCCCCCTTTTGTGTTTTGCCCAAAATCGGCGGGTTTTGCCCCAAACGCACCTGGAACTCCTCGCGGCCGCGCAGCAGCTCCCGGCGCTCCCTGAGCAGCTCCTCCAGCCCCAGCGCGGGGTCCCGGCACTCCCGGAGCCCCTCGGGGCAGCCCGAGGCCAGGCTGGGGGCAAAAACGGCCATTTTGGGAAAATTCAATGTTAGTAGGTCAAAATCACCCAAAAATCGTCCCAAAATTACCCAAAAATCACCCAAAAATAGCTCAAAAATTACCCCAAAAACTGCCCCAGAATCCCCCAAAAATCACCCAAAAATCCCCCAAAAATTACACAAAAATCACCTGCAAACTGCCCAAAAATCACCCCAAAAACTGCCCCAAAATCACCCAAAAATGACCCAAAAATCTCCCAAAAATTACCCCAAAATCACCTGCAAACTGCCCAAAAACCACCCTAAAAATGACCCCAAAACAGCCCAAAAATTGCCCACAAACCACCCAAAACTCACCCCAAAACACTGCCCAAAAATCCCCCAAAAAAGACCCAAAAAACTGCCTCAAAATCCCCTGAAAATCCCCCCAAAAAGAATCTAAAATCCCCCAAAACCACCCAAAAATCCCCCGCAAATTGCCCAAAAAATCACCTGAACATCGCCCAAAAATCTGCCCCAAAATCACCCAAAAAACTGCCCAAAAATCAGCCAAAAACCCCCCAAGATTCCCCACAAATCACCCCAAAAACGGCCCCAAAATCATCCAAAAATTCCCCAAAAATCACCCAGAAACGGCCCCAAAATCCCCCCAAAAAATCGCCTGAAATCCCCCAAAACCCCCCAAATTTTGGGATTTCCCCCCAAATTTTGGGATTTTTCCCAGGATTTTGGCTTTATTCCCAGGGTTTTTGGGATTCTGGTAATTTGGGGAGGGGTCTCGCACCTGCAGAGGGTCCCCACCCCCTCCCCTTTCTCCCTTTTCCTCGGTGTTTTTCCCCAAATTTTGGTGTTTTTTCCCCAAATTTTGGTGTTTTTTCCCCGGGATTTCGAGGTTTTTGGGGATTTTTTGGGTTTATTTTTGGTTTTTTTGGGATTTTGGTAATTAGGGGAGGGGTCTCGCACCTGCAGAGGGTCCCCACCCCCTCCCCTTTCTCCCTTTTCCTCGGTGTTTTTCCCCAAATTTTGGTGTTTTTTCCCCAAATTTTGGTGTTTTTTCCCCGGGATTTCGAGGTTTTTGGGGATTTTTTGGGTTTATTTTTGGTTTTTTTGGGATTTTGGTAATTAGGGGAGGGGTCTCGCACCTGCAGAGGGTCCCCACCCCCTCCCCATTCCCCCTTTCTTGGTCATTTTTCCCCCAAATTTTGGTGTTTTTTCCCCAAATTTTGCTGTTTTTTCCCCGGGATTTCGGGGTTCATTTTTGGGTTTATTTTTGGGATTTTTGGGATTTTGGTAATTTGGGGAGGGGTCTCGCACCTGCAGAGGGTCCCCACCCCCTCCCCTTTCCCCTTTTTCCTGTGTGTTTTTCCCCACATTTTGATGGTTTTTCCCCAAATTTTGCTGTTTTTTCCCCGGGATTTCTGGGTTCATTTTTGGGTTTATTTTTGTTTTTTTTTGGGTTTTTGGTAATTTGGGGAGGGGTCTCGCACCTGCAGAGGGTCCCCACCCCCTCCCCTTTCCCCCTTTCTTGGTCATTTTTCCCCCAAATTTTGGTGTTTTTTCCCCAAATTTTGCTGTTTTTTCCCGGGATTTCTGGGCTCATTTTTGGGTTTATTTTTGGTTTTTTTGGGATTTTTGGGATTTTGGTAATTTGGGGAGGGGTCTCCCACCTGCAGAGGATCCCCAGGCCGTGCTCGTGGGCCCCGTCGTGCTCGGAGCGCAGCAGCGCCGCCGCCCGCGCCACCAGGCCCTGCTGCACCAGGGGCCCTGCGGAGATTGGGGTGAAAAACCCGGATTTTGGGTCATTGCGGGGGTTTGGGGTGAAAAACCCGGATTTTGGGTCATT